GAGCGGGGTCCCACGAGCGGGGTCCCCCAAGCAGGGTCCCACAAGCATGGCCCCACCAGCAGGGTCCCACGAGCGGGGTCCCACGAGCACTCCGAGCGCCAGCTCCAGGATCAGCCGGGGGAAGTCTGTGTCAAGGCAAGCCCCCAGCGACAGTTCCACTCTCCAGCCCGTACTGCTCCCTGAGAAGCCCCGTAGAACTTGCATCACTGCTTTCCACATGTGCACCCCACAATGACACTCCGCGATTAAACCTCGTTAGGAACTCATTCTCTCCCATTTAAATGCAATTGAAAAAGAAAGAATGTCTTAAATTTACCTGCATGGTAGTATGCAGATTCACCAGTCAAGTGAGAAAGAACAAGAAGGGACGCAGTCCTTTCCCCATCTAGACTGGCGCTGTCAGGCAGCGCTGGCAGACTTGTTGAGAACGCAGACCTACACCGAAGCTTTGAAGGAAGGGGTCTGTGAAAGTCCCGTGATCTCTGAATTACTTTTAAAAGGAAGGTGAACATTATTCTGCATCCCCTTACATTGCACTGATCTCCTTGTAAGTTCTTGCTGTCCACAAAGCTGTGTTGTATCTTTCAGATGTGTTGAAGAAGTGGGAGAAAAAAAGAAACCGTAACGCTGGCGATATCAAAATTTTCAAAGACTGGCTGTTTTTACATCGCCCTTCTGAAACACGCGAGATCTGTAAGCTGCCACCCGAAGACCTCGATAATTACCTGGCCTCGTTCTACAGTTCTGCAAAGAGGCAGGACGGCACAGATTTTTCCGCCAGTTCTTTGCACTTCTTTCAGAGCAACATAGAGAGATACCTCAAGGACAACGACTACGGGTACAGCGTGGTTAAAGGGCTGGAATTCAGAGCGTCTCAGGAAGCCTTGAAACTGAAGCATCAGCACCTATCTCAAAAAGAGAGAGACGGAGAGTGGAGTGTTTTGGAGAACCTGACAGATGAAGATGTGGAAAGCCTTCGTAAGCAGGGACTTTTAAATAAGACACACCCGGAGGGCTTTTTGCACCTCATGTTCACAAACATCATCAGGGGGTTTGGGGCAGGTACACACCGTGAGAGCCAGAATCTGTACTGGGGACAGCTTGTGCTAAAAAAGAATGAGGGAGAGCTGGAGTACTTGGAGTGGAAGGATGACCTGAGTGCCGAGGTGAACACAGGGGAGTCGAGTCCGCGCCTCTGCGCCAGGCCTGACAACCCCGGTAACTGCCCGGTTGCAGATTACAAGGAGTATGCTAAGAGGAGGCCACTGGACATGCTTCACGACTACGACCCGCTGTATCTGGCTCCCAAGCCTCTGTGCTCCGTCTGGGACCAGGCCTGGTACTGCAGGAAGGCACTGACAAAGGCCAAAATCGGAAAGATCGTGAAGGTGATTATCCAGCAAGTCAGAGGCTCGGCAAAGAAGGCCAGGAAATAGCGGAATGCATGCCGTGTCTGCTGTGCCGCTTGGTGGGAGCGCGTTTCCCAGCAGGCTCTGAGCGGTTTGCGTGGCGGCAGTTCGTTAGCGCAGGCTGGGGGGACATCCTTCGCTGCCGTTCCCCCCCGAGAACGTAGGTCAGCTGCAAGTTTGCGTCGCCTTAGCGTTCAGGTTAGGTGAAAACTCCTGTTGGTGTTAGTGTTAATGGAATTGATCGTTCAGTAAGTTACACAAATACGAGAATCTTCGGTTTCACGTTTGTACAACCAGTCAATATTCTGCTGTGTTACTCATGACATGATGCAAAGCCGATGTTAACGTGGACAGGGCTTGGTCGTGGAGCAGCTTGGCCCGCAGCTGAAGGCGCGCTCATTAGGGAGGGCAACACTTGCAAACAGCGTTTCCTCTCTCGCATAACCCTCTTGTAAAAAGGCAAACTGACAAGGTGACACGGTGACAAGGTGACACGGGCGAGCTCTGGGGCGGAGGAGAGGGGTGCAGTGCCAGCTGCTGGCCCGCACCTGGTGGCAGCGCGTTCCACCAGGTTTCTGTCGTTTTTCTTGTTGAAAGAGTTGCAGGTTTCAGAAGTTGTCACTGTTTTAAAAATTTATTTTAAACGGCCGACAGCGTTGGAGGGTTTTTGTTAAGCGCCTTCCC